TAAAAACTGAAAAACTTAAAACCCCTCCCTGATAAGTAAGAGCAGAACCATGCTAAGGTCACACAATCTTGTGAAAAAAATGTTGTGGTTGACCGTGTCAAATGCTGGTGAGAGATCTAACAAAACAAGAAAACAGCATTTTCCAGAGTCTGCAGACAGCATAATATCACTGGATACTTTAAGCAGGGTGGTTTCTGTGGAGTGATGCTTGCGGATGTCATGATGTTACAAAGTTCAGACCCAAATGCAGAAAACGCGAACAGAGAGACCAGGGGAAAGGTTTAACGGGTTTTATTGAAGAGGTTAAACAGAGGGAGAAGTGTTGCTCTGAACGCTGCTCAACCGGAACTGTAAAGTGAGATGAAGACACAGCGGTTAGTTCAGGCTCAGTGGGGAAATTGGCTCAGGAACTTGGAGAAGAGGATTTGGTTGCCGACTCACGTTTCCAGAGAAGTTGTTGAATTCTTGACTCCTGTCTGTGTGCCGTGGTTCCAGTGTTTGTCTGATTCGGTGGAGGGCAGAACAGGGTTTACCCAGAATGCGGTTTTTAGTCGGAGAACGGAGAAGCTGACTGCCACTCAGATTTCCTGCGGTACTTGAACGGGTCGTAGTGGAGAATAATCCCTTTCTCAGTGTGAAGCTCAAACGATCTCTTGGGGAAAGGGGATCCAAACCTCCTGTTTGAACCTCAGCTCAGTTTGAAGCTCAGTTGATCCTTCCAGGGAGAGAAGGTCCGAGAAATCCAGTTTGCAGGATGACTTCCTGCCGAGAGGCAAAGACAAAAACAAAGTTAAACTCAGGTTGACAAAAACTCAGTTTGACTCAGCAAAACTCAGCTTGGCTAGAGTACCCAAAACAGGCAAACACTCTGGCGTCGAGGTAGTGGCAGGTAGCAGCTGAAGAACACTGCGTTTAACGAGGTAACCATCAGCAGGTGTGTGAGGAGGCGGACCAGAACCAGGCGCCTCCTGGTGGAGGAAGGGAGACAAACACAGAAACACAAACACAAAGACAGGAGTCCTGGCAGCGGAGGCCAGACTGAAAAGTGTCAAAATATTTTTATTTTTCCAGGAAGGGTACCAATTGATCAGATCCCACCTTCTCCACATCTTCAGATAAAAACTGAAGTTTTAAAATGGGCCTGCAGATTTTTAAATCAGTAGGGTCCAGATTAGGTTTTTTGAGAAGTGGTTCCACAATGGCTTGTTTAAGAGAACTGGGAAAAACACCAGTGGAAAGTGAAAGATTGATCAGATTGGTAATCCAGGGACATCAAATGTTTTTACAAAAAGCTTACAGGTCAGAACATCCGATGCTCATAAAGAAGGCTCCATTCTGGTTAGCTGAGCTAAGACATTGGCCGTGGGGTGCATGCTCAACAGCACCAGGGGTGCACAATGAGAGCATTGGAAGTTGATCTTTAATTTCCTAGATTTTATCAATAAAAAAAAGCTTAGAAAGTCAAACAGTTGTAAGGGGAACAGCAGGACATACAATAGATTTGATGGTATTACACAACACTTGAGGTTTTTTCCTATTCAGGGTAATCAGCTGGCGGAAGTAGTCAGATCTGGCCTTTTTTATAATTTCATCTAAAGACGACCTAAGTTCCCTCAGGTACAACCTATGGACCTCAAAAGCTCTGTCTCTTCATATCACAAACACCATCATTAATCCAAGGACACGTTGCTTTATGACTCACCAGATTAGATCTAACAAGGTCTAAAATAAGACCCTTTTGATGGGTGAGTCAGAGACATGTTGTTCAAAATGAAAAGTCTCATACATTGTTAAAAGTCTCACTGCTAAATATTATTAAAATATCCAAGGATTAAAACATTTTCCAACTTTCTAATTAGAAGGCAAATAGTCACTAAAAACTTCAGCCCATTAATAGATAGTTATAAGCATTGGTTATCCAGAGGGAGTAAGCAGGGCTTCTCCTTTGAGCACTTGGCATGTTCCAAGAAATGCTTGAGGAAATCAACCAAGTGTTGTTCTGTCATCCACCATGTGGGATTTGCCTGTCCTTTGCAGCTTGGTGGCCCATTGATGATGTAATGAGCACGACAGTCCACCCAAGCAAATAGGAAATATGGGGGTGGGGACTGAATAGGCCAGGGTCACCAGGGTACCCTTTCCCCATATGTGAGTGACCCCACCTGCTTGAAGCCAAGCCTGGCCGTTAATCGGTCTGATTTCTGTATCATTGTCACTCCAGTTTAATCCATGTTCCAGATATATACTATTCCCAGTGAGAGCCTGGTTAAAACTTTCTCCATTCTCCTTTTGAGACCGTGCCAAGATCATTCCGAGCACAGTAACCAAGGTAACTGTTGAGTGTAAATGGCACGGAGAACTGAACCAGACCGCGCTAAACTGGTACTAGTTCATTAGTAGGGCATATTTATAAGTTCTGGCTCGGTTCTCAGATAACAAAGAGTGCATGAGCAGACAGCTTCCAGTAGTTCCCAGTAATGCTACGTTCACACCAAACACGAATTGAGCAGCAACAAAGCGCCTGCTGCTTCTCTTTATGATGCTTGTACTCATTACGTTCAGACCCACGTCTTGAGCATCCGTGACGCTCCTGAAGCACGATCAGTACAGCGTGTCCAGATTCGTCTGATGCTTCTACTGCTCCTGCGTTCAATGCCAGAGAGCGGCTTTGCTATATTACCCACTAGATCAGTGGGTCAAAAGTAGTTTGAATCTATTTTTAAGTGTGTGTGTGTGTGGGGGGGGGGGGGGGGGCTGTTGGAAACCATGGGGTGAAGACGTGTTTCCTAGAGCTTTGCCAAATAGTGACAAAACATTTATTTGAAGCAACTTAAAACTTTTTTTATGCAAGTAAAACCGACTGCTGAATCGGCTGAACATTTTTGTGGGGTTTTTTTGTACGTGGTTTTGATGGTGTGCCATCATCATTACAATGGGAGCTAAACCTTGCCCAAAGAGAAACCCTTCCCAAGGGGGGACCGGCTCTAAAGTGATACCAGCAGGCACTAAAAGGTAAGGGCTGATGCTGGACACTTGTGCAGTTGGAGGGAAGAGCGTGATCAAATCTGGAGCTGCACCACTCAGCAAAACGGTTTTTCCCAAGGCACTTCAAAGTTTGAGACAGGACATTTATGACAAACTGGACTCTAAAATGGACAATTTCAGACAAACACTGATGTCTGAATTTTCCCAGGTAAAGACTGAACTGACAATAATCATCAGCCTCGATATTTTTTTTTATTATTATTTTTATTTATTTTTTTATTTCAGTATTATTTACATAATCTGACTTGGTTGCCTTGATGCAAGTGTTTGTTGACTTATTTATTTCATTTTTTGTGAGTGGTGTGTGTGTTTTTTTCCCTCACATTTGTCAATTTTATTATGCTTGTTTTATTTGCTTATTTTTTATTTGCCACTAAATTATAAGTGAATTTAAGCGTTAATAAACTGTTTCAGAGGAGTGATCATAGCGCTCTGCATCAGCAGTGCTGTGTCTGACTCCCTGCCAGCTCCCAGATCAGCTTCTCTGATTGGATGATGCAGCGTCCAGCAGCTAAAGTTGAACTTTTCCAACTCCAGCAGCTGCTCCTTCTGAAGTTCCTCAGAAGCTCATGAGGCGCTGTTTTGGCTGCTCAGGTGCATCAAGATGTGCTACTCTTGCTGCTCTAGATGCTGCAGGACCTTTTTATGCACCTTGATGCGTGTCAACCATAGACTTTGCATGTGAACAAGCTGCCTTTGCTGCTTAAATGTAGCATTATGCACATCAGTGAATTGCTTTCCAGAGCTTAAAGATATTCTGATGACCGATGGATGGCAGCATATAAACAAGAGTAAATCCAAAAGCACTAACAAAATCAGCTGAATATGACACAAGAAATTAAACGAAACAGACCTCAGGTATCTAGATTATCCTAGACAATCCTAGAGAGGAGTAATACCATAGATCATCACTAGGAGGCGAGGAACCGTGCTAGCGTGATGTGTAAACGATCGTAAGGAACCAAGCTCGGCACGTTTAACTGATCCAAGCTGGTCCGAACTCGGCACAGATTGTTTTCGGGAGTGGAAATGGAGCTTTTGATATAGTTCTCAGTCTGCAGTTTCATCTCTGTGCTGAAAACCTGTCATGGTGATTTGTACCCAAACACTGTATTGAATTTCAGCTGATGTCAATGTTTTACAGTACCACACAAAACTACAGTTGCTGCCATTTAAGTCCCTCATTGTACTCCAGCAGTCAAAGGGCGAGAGGCGGGGTACACCCTGGGCAGGTCGCCTGTCCATTGCAGTGAATGATAATCAAAAACCTTAATAATTTATAATATATAAGATTAGTTTAGGGAAAAATAAGTTTGCTAAGCATTTTTTAAAGTTAACAGCATTGCCAAAGCACTCAACTAAAAATAACTTTCTACAAGCGGATTAGCGGAAGGGTGTTGTGGAGTAAAAATGAGCACTGAGAGATGATATTCAAGGATGAAAAGGTTTTATTTTACTCTGCAGAGGAGAATGGCTGCTGAACACAGCTCTGAGTGCGATTCTGAGGCTTTCAGCAACACACCCCTACATTTAAAAATAATCCACACCACACACACACATGAACATTGAATCTTTCCAACAGAAACACTTTAGTTCATCAAAGGACATAAATTTACTTAAATAAACATTTCAAATAACAATTTCTCGTTCACCCGAGAAGGGCATACATTTTAGCCATAGGATGAAGGAGGTTTTTTGAACTCATTATTTCTCATGACCTTCCCTTCACCCTTGTCTAGAGTAGGTAGGGGAGGCGTATGCTTTCTGTCCCCCTAAACAGCATAGTGAATGGTACTGGATTTCTCTATCATTACTCCTATTTAAACAAACATTTATCACACAAAATAGGCCAAGGAAAAACTTTGATTCCAGTGTCTAGCACTAATTAGTGGAAACTTCCATTAAATTGCCTCTCATATACCCTAAATATTAATGCATCCTCTCTGTTTCTACAGGATTAACACTGTGGAACCCTGATGACCTGGAAAAAGACAAAAGAGAAACCCCCAAACCAAACAGTTGCTTTGAAATAGTTGCATCTGAATCAATTGAGGACAAATCTTCAGCCCTGGACGTTGAAGCATCTTTAAAAGCAAGTTTTTTAGGAGGACTAGTTAAAGTCGAAGGATCTGCCAAATACCTGAATGATCAGGTGACATCCAAAAATCAAGCCAGAGTAACACTGAAGTACAAAGCTTCTACAAAGTTTGAAGAATTGTCAATGAATCATCTAGGAAGAGGCAACGTGAAGCACCCATATGTGTTTGAGAACAGAATAGCAACACATGTGGTTACAGGCATTCTTTATGGAGCTCAAGCATTTTTTGTCTTTGACCAAGAAAAATCTGAGACAGAAAGTCACCAAGACATTCGGGGCAACTTGAAAGTTTTGATTGAGAAGATTCCGTGCCTATCAATTGAAGGTAAAGGTTCCTTACACCTGGAAGATAAGGACTCTGAAAAAATAAAGAAATTCTCTTGCAAATTTCATGGGGATTTCCTCCTCGAGAAAACTCCAACAACCTTTCAGGATGCAGTAGAAATCTATCAAAACCTTCCTAAGCTGCTGGGAGCCAATGGAGAAAATGCAGTACCAATCAAGGTCTGGATGTTACCTCTGACAAACTTAGATTCTTCTGCGGCTAAACTTGTCCGGGAAATAAGTGTAGGATTAGTTCAAGAAGTACAAAGTGTCCTTGAGGAGTTCAGTGAGCTGGAAATAAGGTGCAACGATACCATGAAAAACAATACAGCACAGCAGTTTCCACAGATTAACAGAAAACTTAAAAGTTTTAAAAGTTTGTGCTCTGAGTTCAGGCTTGGATTTCAGCAAACATTAGCAAAGAAGCTTCCATCAATCCGAGGAGGAGGAGAAGAAGAGTCTGAGCTTGCAGAGATCTTGAAGAAGAAGGCTTCCTCACCTTTCAATAGCAAAACCCTCAACGAGTGGATGGACTGCAAAGAGAGAGAAATAAACATCCTGAAATCTTTCACCAAGATGATGAAAAACACCAAAATCATCCCGTCTCGAAATACCCTTGATGAGGAACTTCTCACTGCAGAGCATGCTGTGTGCTTCGTCTTCACCTCTCTGGAAAGAGATGAACCATACCTCTCCGCTTTGCAGAACTACCTCAAAAGCAGAAATCAGACAGATGATTCACACACGAATGACGTTGAGAAGGATCAATGGTATCTCTCTAACAATGTGGCCGATGAGATGAGAACAAATGTAAAACTCTTCAGTGATTTTGCAGAGGCCAACAGCGAGACCAAAGGCACAACATTCCTAACAGTAGCTTTAGCAGATGAGAAACATGAAGGTTCAACCATTTACCTTTATAAAGATGGCTCCCCTGTCAGTAAGAACTTTGAGCCACCGTCCAAGCCGGAAACTGTGACAGAAGCTGACATAAACCACAACAGTGTGACTTTGAACATTTCTCCTCCCTTACATGGAGCAGAGAACATCACCTCCTACTCTGTTGAGTACCGTGTCAGAGGACAAGATGAATGGAAACAAAAGACTGAACCAAAATCTGCACAACTCACAGTGAACAACCTGAAGCCAAACACAGAGTATGAGTTCAAATGCAGAGCAATTACCTCAGCAGGTGTTGGACCGGCCAATATCCTTAATTATCCAATTAAAACTTTACCCTGCAGTCCTCCTGGAGAACCTCAATGTGAACCAAACTCATCTGAGCTATCGGTTAGTTGGGAGGAACCTGCTGAGCTCGGTCCAGATGTCCAGATACTGAGTTACATTGTGGAATATGCAAGCACTGCCGATAAGGGAAAGGTAGAAAACCTCAGTTGGAGCAAAACAAGATCAAGAGGTGAAAAAGTCATAATTTCAGGTCTTCAGTCAGAAACACAGTATGCAGTCAGGGTCTTATGTGATTGTGGTGGGGCCGGCAGAAGCAAGGGAAGCAAGATTGTTCAAATTCATACAACGAGGCGAGAATTTGCACGACTGGCTGAACATCTAAAAGATATCAGTAAGAGAACAAACTCAAGACCGGGATCAGTCTATGAACTCCCTCTGAAAGAGGACGACTTGGACATAGATGGCTGCCGAAGGTACCTGTTGGGTAAAGAAAGTCTAAGACCCAACCGTACAATCATGCTCCTAGGAGCAACTGGAGCAGGAAAGTCCACTCTCATCAATGGAATGATCAACTACATTGTTGGAGTCGAGTGGAAAGACAGCTTCAGATTTAAACTTATCAAGGAAGATTCATCAAGGTCTCAAGCTCACAGTCAGACCTCTGAGGTCTCTGTGTATCAAATCAACCACCAGGATGGGTTCCAAATCCCTTATTCTCTCACTGTTATCGATACACCAGGCTTTGGAGATACCAGGGGAGTAGAACGAGATCAAGAGATTACAGAGCAGATCCGAAGGATTTTTACCTCTGCTGACGGAGTCACAGAGATTGATGCCGTGTGCTTTGTTACTCAGGCCTCTCTGGGGCGTCTGACAGCAATACAGAAGTACGTGTTTGACTCAGTTCTCTCAATCTTCGGTAAAGATGTGGCAGAGAACATTATCATGCTGGTCACATTTGCAGATGGGAAGCAGCCACCAGTTCTTGAAGCGATAAATGTCTCTGGAGTTCCATGTCCCAAAAATGATTTGGGATTTCCAGTTCATTTCAAGTTCAACAACTCTGCACTGTTTGCACAGAATAAACAGCAAGGGGACAGTACTGTTGATGAGGATTCTGATGAAGAGGGGGAGAGCTTTGATGAAATGTTTTGGAAAATGGGAATCAGAAGCATGGAGAAGTTCTTCACATCTTTGGGCAAAATGACATCTAAAAGCCTGTTGATGACCAAGGAAGTTTTAAAACAGCGAAAGCAACTTGAGACAGTCATTGAAGGTTTGCAGCCACAAGTCAAAGCTGGATTAGCCAAACTTGAAGAAATAAAAACAACCAAAGAAAAGATCAAGGAGCATGAAGCCATCATAACTTCAAATGAAAACTTTGAGATTGAAGTGGATGTTATTAAGCCAATCCAAATACCAATCACTGAGAAGGGAGCGTACATCACCAACTGTCAGAGGTGTAACATAACTTGCCACTACCCATGTATGATAGCAAACGACAACAAGAAGCAGGGCTGTGCAGCAATGGATCAAACAGGGATGTGCACCGTATGTCCTGGAAAATGCATTTGGAATGTGCATTCAAATCAAACATACAGGTGGGATTATGTCCAAACAAAGGAGAAGAAGACAGTACCAGAACTGAAAAGCAAGTATGAAAAAGCTGCAAAACAAAAGCTGACTACTGAGCAACTGATTGAGAGGCAAGAGGAAGAGATTGCTCACCTTCAAGACCTAATGATTTCCCTCATTGATCAGTCAGCCAATTGCATCACTCGTCTTCAAGAGATTTCTCTCAGGCCGAATCCTCTGGCTGCTCCAGATTACATCGACATGATGATCAAAGGAGAGGAAGCAGAGGCCAAACCGGGCTACAAGGCCAGAATCAAGTCTCTGGAGGGAATGAAGGAGAAGGCCAAACTCATGTCCAAAGTGTCTCAACGAGACCAATTAACAAAAACAGACGAGCAACTTTCTGCTGAGAGACAGAAGAGAAAGGAAGGAAAAGGCTTTTTAAAGAAAGTGGCAAATTTCTTTGGATATTGAAGATAATGTCGACAGGTCTGGATATGCTGGAACAATTTTTAGCAGAAAAGATTGATACAATCATTTGAAGCAAAATTTTTCTCACGTTTTTGGTATTTAGTGTTGATTTTGACTCTGATGTTATTGAATGAACACAGATAATTATTGATTCTTTCTGACCAGCAATTCCTGATATATAAAAATCTAAATATTTTAGATACAATTCTATTTCTAAAATTTCAACAGTTATTTTAAAATATATTCACTAATGATATCATATATTTCTTAATGGTGAAATTTAAATCAACATGGTAACACTGCCAGCACCTGCAGATGGGTGTGCTTGTTTTAACTGCTTTGCCGAAATAATTTTAGGTCCATCTTTTCCTAAACCTTCAACCTGACATCTGATTTAATTAAGTTGGTAGTTTCCTGTTATTCTGAACGTTTTTTTTTTGTAGTTTTAATTAAAAGGAAATTAACATCGGCAATGAAATTCAAGTAAAATGCCCTTTTTGTGAGAAACCTTAAGAGGATATCAGAATTTAATTTGTATTAGATGCTGTGCTACAATAATAAAGTTTTCAATGATTAAAAGCATTTGTCTTCTTGTCTTTAAGGACTGATATTTAAAACCTCAACATAGAAGGTGGAATTATTTTGCTAAGTAAAACCATGGACCTATAAAAATATATACATTTTTTATTAATTAAAAGCAGAACATGAGATTCTGTCTTGAAATACTTTCATTATTCTAAAGTTTCCCAAACTTTTTAATCTCTTCTCCCAGATTTCTTTACCGGGTTAGGTTGGTGTTAGCAAAACATGATGCAGACTTTCAGCAAAAATATCACAAATATACAACCTTACACCGAAGAACTGTATTTACACACAGTTTAATGCTGTAATGAACTGTAGATTCTCACATTTTTTATTATTTTAGAGATGAATATAATACAAATCTGTACATTATAGGTCAAATAAAAAAATAGATGATTGTGCTTAGCGAATGGAATTATTGAAGCTAAAATGAGCCAATGAGGACAGAGCCAATATACAGAGTTCATCAGTTAGTAATAATAGGTTATTCTGATCAATGGTGGATGCTGATTTCATGAACATCATGGACTGTTAGGACCAACTCGGGAATTTAGCCCAGGGTGTAGGTAGGCTAGCCCAGGTAGGTGGAAAAGACCCAAGTGCAGAGATCGCCACCCCCCCAACCCCTAAAAAAAGAAAACAACAAAAAACACAGAAGATCCAGATCCACAAAATAAGTCCTGTGGCAATTCAGATATAAGAGGTACAAAAGATCCAGACAGAAGAGAAAAGGTTATCCTAAAAGTAAGTAGTTTAAAATCATAGAGCATGAAAGGCCCAGAATACAAAGTAAAGCTAGTAATGTTAGGCTTGAATGAAACTGCTGGAAACAGCTTCAATCTTTTTGAAACAGAAGTGTCGCTGAGAAGTGCTTGGATCTGCTTGGAAATTTGAATAATGTGAGCGTTTCCACACTACTCGTCCAGTAAAGATTCTCAATCATCCAGATCATAGTCATTCAAAAAAAAAGTTAAAATCAATCCACTGGACTTTGTTTCCAAGTTTGAAGACATTTCGCTTCTCATCCATCATCGAGAATTTAAATAGCCTAGGTATAGTTTAGAATGGATTTAGATTAGGTTATTATAGTTTAGGGAATATATATAAATATAAAACAACTGTTTTCTCCCCCCTGGTGGGGTGGTATGTGTCATCCTCAAGCTGGGGTCCTCTACCAGAGGCCTGGGAGTTTGAGGGTTCTGCGCAGTATCTTAGCTGTTCCTAGGACTGCGCTCTTCTGGACAGAGACCTCTGATGTTTTACCTGGAATCTGCTGTAGCCACTCTCCCAGTTTGGGGGTCACAGCCCCCAGTGCTCCAATTACCACTGGCACCACTGCTGCTCTTACTTTCCACATCTTTTCTAGCTCCTCCTTCAGTCCTTGGTATTTCTCAAGCTTCTCGTGTTCTTTCTTCTTGATGTTGCTGTCGCTTGGGATTGCCACATCTATCACTACTGTCTTCTTCTGCTGTTTGTCGATCAACACGATGTCTGGTTGGTTAGCCATCACCTGTTGGTCAGTCTGGATCTTGAAGTCCCATAGGATCTTAGCTCGGTCATTCTCAACTACCTTAGGAGGTGTCTTCCATTTTGACCTTGGGACTTCCAGCCCATACTCATGGCAGATGTTCCTGTACACTATGACAGCTACCTGGTTGTGGCGTTCCATGTATGCACTTCCTGCCTGCATTTTACACCCTGCTGTTATGTGCTGTATTGTTTCAGAGGCATCTTTGCACAGTCTGCATCGGGGGTCCTGCCTGGTGTGGTAGACCCCGGCCTCTATTGATCTTGTACTGAGTGCCTGTTCTTGTGCTGCCATGATTAGTGCCTCTGTGCTGTCCTTCAGTCCAGCCTTTTCCAGCCACTGGTAGGATTTTTTTATATCAGCCACTTCTTCTATTTGTCTGTGGTATACGCCGTGCAGCGGCTTGTCCCTCCATGATGGTTCTCCTTCCTCTTTCTTGTCCTCACTTTCGGTTTTCTCCTGCCTGAGGTACTCACCGAGCCATTTGTCTTTGGGGGCCATCTTTCTGATGTACTCCTGGATCTTAGTTGTTTCATCCTGGACAGTGGTCTTGACACTCACTAGTCCTCGGCCTCCCTCGCTACGCTTGGTGTACAGTCTCAGAGTGCTGGATTTGGGGTGGAACCCTCCATGCCTTGTGAGGAGCTTTCTCGTCTTGATGTCAGTAGCCTCTATCTCCTCCTTTGGCCAGTTTATTATACCAGCGGGGTATCTGATGACTGGTAGGGCATATGTGTTGATGGCTTGGATCTTGTTTTTCCCATTCAGCTGACTTTTCAGGACCTGCCTTACTCTTTGTAGGTATTTAGCTGTGGCAGTCTTTCTTGCCATCTCCTCGTGGTTTCCGTTAGCCTGTGGCACCCCCAGGTATTTGTAGCTGTCCTGCACATCTGTAATGTGGCCTTCTGGTAGTTCAACCCCCTCGGTTCTGATCATCTTCCCTCTCTTTGAGACCATGCGACCGCACTTGTCCAGTCCGAATGACATTCCAATGTCGTTGCTGTAGATCCTGGTAGTGTGGATCAGTGAGTCGATGTCTCGCTCACTCCTGCAATACAGCTTGATGTCATCCATGTAGAGGAGGTGACTGATGATTGTTCCGCTTTGGAATTGGTATCCGTAGCCAGTCTTTGTGATGATCTGGCTGAGGGGGTTCAGGCCTATGCAGAACAGCAGCGGGGATAGTGCATCGCTAGACTTGTTTTCCACAGCTTCATTGAGTTCTTGATGAAGGCTATTAGAGTCCTGTTGATCTTGTACATTTCCAGGCATTCCAGTATCCATGTATGTGGCATTGAGTCATAGGCTTTCTTATAGTCAATCCAGGCAGTGCACAGATTTGTCTGCCTGGTCTTACAGTCTCGGGTGACTGCTCTATCCACAAGTAGCTGGTGCTTGGCTCCTCTGGTGTTGCTGCCTATTCCCTTCTGGGCAGGGTGCATGTATTGAGCCATGTGCCTACTCATCTTAGCCGCTATGATGCCTGACAGGAGCTTCCATGTTGTACATAGGCAAGTTATTGGCCGGTAGTTGGATGGGGTTGTTCCCTTCTGCGGATCCTTCATGATCGTCCTTGGGTTAACCAAGGTTGCTGATGGATGGGATGGATGGGTGGGTCCCATCCATCAGCAGTTGGTTCATTTGTGCTGCGAGGCGTGCATGAAGTGCGATTAGTTTTTCAGCCAGTAGGTGTGGATCATGTCAGGGCCTGGTGCTGTCCAGCTCTTCATACCTGCCGCTCTTTCTTGGACATCTGCCGTTGTAACGGTTACTGGTTCTTGTTCTGGGAGATTGCTGTGATCTGTTCTTAGATCTTCTAGCCACTGAGCATTGGTGTTGTGGGATGCCTCCTTCTCCCATATGTTTCTCCAGTACTGTTCAGTCTCAGTCCTGGGTGGATCTGATCTTGTATTATTACCCTGCCACTGTGAGTACACTTGGGTTGGTGGAGAACATCTGGTTTATTCTCCTGGCTTCTGCTTCTCCCTTGTATCTCTTTAGGCGGGTGGCCAGGGTGGCGAGTCTTTGTTTGGCAGTTTCCAGAGCCTCAGGAATCGACAGCTTGTCGTACTTAGGTAACCTCTTCCCTACACCTTTCTGCAGTTCTGAGAGCTGACTAACCTCTCTTCGTGTTGCTTCCAGCCTTCTTCTCCATGGGGGCTCTGCTTTGTGGCCTGTGGTGTTTATCTTATAGCCAAGCATCTCTAGGATCACTGTAGCTGTGGCGTAGGTCAGCTCATTGGTCTCAGTTATATCTTTAGTAGGGATAGTATGTAGTGCTGCATTTACATCTTCTAGAAGACTTTCAGAGGGTACTCTGTCACTTAGCCTTGGCAGTCTTGGTCGTCGTACTAGGGGATCCAGTTTCGTTATGATCTGCTGTCGCAGGTCAGCTGCCCTTACGTTTAGTGGCTCATCCGTTTGAGGATGTTAGAACACTGAGTTAGTAGTTGTTTCTTTGTCAATGATGACAATGGTTGTTGGAGCTGCCATAATTCCCACAGTCTCTGCATGTAACCTCTCTCACTGCATCTCACTCCATCTATGTCTTGTTCCAATTTGTCATCAAGTTGCCCTGGTTCCCTAGCATATATAGCAACTATATATATATATATATATATATATATATATATATATATATATATATATATATATATATATATATATATATATATATATATATATATATATATAAAATAATGTTGTGTGACTTAGGTTGCGTGGGGGTGTGGGGGTGTGAGACAGAGGGGGAGAGTCAAGTGAGGAAGGGAGATCATGGGGGAGAGCCATTACCTAAAAGAGTTCAGTCAAATGTCTGGCAGCACTTTGACCTTATAAGCCCCAAGTAGATGAGCAGATTGAAGCAAACACAGTGGAAATCATTCTTTTTTTA